TGTGTGGGTGTGAGAGATGTATGATATGGTATGTATTTATAGGCAAAAAAATTTCATATAGTGGTTGCTGGTGCTTGCATGCATGCGAAGTGTCACTCTTGCAGGCTAGGTGGCAGCCTAGGGGGTTACATATATGCATGCATGTAAAAAAATGAAAGGTGTCACTCTTGCATGCTTGGTGGCAGCCTAAGGATGTATCACGATTGGACAGTAAGGGAGGCGCCATTGGACTTGGCGAAAGAGTACAAAAATGAATGGTGTCGCCACCCCAATTGGCGAATAAGAGGTGTCCTTTGTTGCAGCCTAGGCTCAGGCTACGTGACAACCTTTGGGATGCCTTTCCTGAATGCATGTAACCCCATTGGAGGTGATGGGAGGAGACTTACAACATACAATATAGGTGCAGAGTAGGCGCAGGCTAGGTGGCAGCGTAGGGGGTTACTTATCTGCATGCATGTGTCACGATTGGACAGTAAGGGAGGCGCCATTGGACTTGGCGAAAGAGTACAAAAATGAATGGTGTCGCCACCCCAATTGGCGAATAAGAGGTGTCCTTTGTTGCAGCCTAGGCTATGGCTACGTGACAGCCTTTGGGATGCCTTGCATGTAACACTATTGGCAGCCTTGGGCGTTGCATCCTTACTTAATTGAAATTTTTAGTCTTACGTTTATCATAACATTGATTCACTTAATCTGTCAAATCTTCCAACCTTCAAACGTTCTTACAATCAAACCTTCAAACAATCAAACATATAAACCTTCGAATAATTCATAAAGTTCAAACATTCCAACCTTCAAACCTTACAACATTCAAACCTTCATACAATCAATAAACTTCAAACATTTCAACCTTCGAATCACTCATAAAATTCAAACATTCCAACCTTCAAACCTTCAAACCTTCAAACAATTCTACGCAATGGCCTCTGCACCACAATTTGTCGTCAAAGCACATTTCAACGGTGAGACATACATTTGTCCCACCGCTGGGTTTTTGTTTAGAGGCACAGACAACATCCGATTTCTCTTAAACGGGAAAGCCAATTTCTCGTACTTCAAAAAACGATTGGAGGCCAAACTTGAACGAGGCCCGGTGACCTAGATATTTTATCAGAATCTAGTTTTTTTCGGAAACAACCAAGTAATTTTTTATAAGGTTGAAGTTCAAGATGACGAGGATCTCCAGAATATGTTTTCCAGCCATGTGTATTCTGGGTACGACTCTATTGAGTTGTACGTTATGCTGCGAGAGCCACAGGTGACACAAGAGGTTGATCCTTTAGAGAATGAACAAGCTGAGGTAGATGCAGTTGATGATGAAGAAGAAGATGACGAGTTAGAGTTTGATGAAATGGTGAATGATGATTCCGACGATGATGGCATCCCTAGTATTCCTGCAAACGAAATCTACACACCACCTCCGCACATGACAAACTTCAACATGGGCGGAGATGAACCTTCTACTGAATTATTTTTCAATCCGTATATGCAGTCGAATGAAAATTTAAAAGAGAAGGACAAGTTTCGTAATAGAGAGGAATGCATCAGAGCCATAAAAAAAATTCCACATGCTCAACTCGATTGATTTTAAGGTGGACCGTGTCAACCCGGAAAGGTACAAGATCAAGTGTGTCTACCCTGACTGTATGTTCAAGCTGACCGCATCATACAGATTAAGAGGTGACTGTTGGGTCATAGGTTCCATGACTACCCACACTTGTGTAAGTTCCACTCAATCACATGACCACCGAAAACTCAACTACGATCTCATCTGTCAAGAAATCCTACCCCTGGTCAGCAACGACCCATCTTTGAAGGTGAAAACAATCATCTCCCACATCACCACGGTTTTTAACTACACTCCGTCTTACCGTAAGGCGTGGTTAGCAAAGACTAAGGCGATTGAAAGGGTGTACGGAAACTGGGAGGAGTCATACCAAGAACTTCCCCGCTACCTGAATGCACTCAAGACGTATTCTCCAGGTAGTGTTTACGTTCTGGAAACAGTGCCAGCATATGCCCAAGATGGTAGTCTACTAAATGGCAACGAAATATTCAGTCGAGTGTTTTGGGCATTTCAACCATGCATCACATGGTTTGCATCATGCAAACCAATTATACAAATTGATGGGACTTGGTTGTATGGGAAGTACAAAGGCACGCTACTGATGGCAGTTGCACAAGATGGCAACAATAACATTTTCCCCATTGCCTTTGCCCTTGTCGAGGGGGAGACCGGTGGTGCTTGGAGCTTTTTTCTGAAAAATCTGCAGACACACGTGGCTCCTTAACCAGATCTCTGTTTGATCTCGGACAGACATGCCTCCATTGAAAGTGCCTACAATAATCCTGCAAACGGTTGGCACGACCCTCCTTCTACGCATGTCTATTACGTTAGGCATATCGTCCAGAATTTCACGAGGGAGATCAAGGACAAAACATTGAGGAAAGCGGTTATGAATGCGGGATATGCATTGACACAACCCACATTCAAATATTAGCGCAACGAGATCCGTTTGTCAAATCCGGAAGCCGATAGGTGTATCGACAATATTCCGGTGGAAAAATGGACTAGGTCATACGACAATGGCCAAAGATGGGGGCATATGACAACGAATCTTATTGAATCAATGAATGGGGTATTCAAAGGCATACGAAACCTCCCAATCACTGCATTGGTAAAATCTACGTATTTTAGGATGGCTACGTTATTTGCCAAAAGAGGTAAAATGTGAAATGCGGTGTTGCAATCTGGACAACTATGGAGTGAAATCTGCATGAAATACATTAAGGCTGAAAGTGCTAAAGCCAACACTCATATGGTTATACGATTTGACCGACACAGCCACAACTTCATTGTGAAAGAGACAATCGACCACAACGAAGGCCTGCCAAGACAAGAATATAGGGTCATGCTACCTTCTCGTTGGTGAGATTGTGGCAGGTTTCAAGCATTTCGTATGCCTTGCTCTCATGTCATTGCCGCTTGTGCTCATACCCATCAAGACGCGCTGCAACTTTTGTCAAACATTTACAAATCTGAAACATTGCTCAACGTTTACAACAACAACTTTCCTTTGGTAGCAAAACCAGATTATTGGCCTGCATACTACGGCGAAATAGTGTGGCACAATGACCAAATGCGAAGGAACAAGAAGGGTCGTCCCAAAAGCAAGCGCATCACAACAGAAATGGACGACCTTGACAAGTTGGAAAGAAAGTGTGGTTTACGCTGTCAGGTCGGACACAATCGCAAAAATTGTCCGAATCGGGCGTCTGCCTCGACCACATAAAAATTGTAATACATAAAATCTTTCCTTAATTGTGTTATAAACATTAGGGTTTTCCGTTAACAGATTTTGCTACAATTAATAAAACGCGTACAAGAAAAATTAACGATATTCCGTTTACGAAATTACAACTGTTAACACAATTTCATCTGACCCATGCATCATCAACATTACATCGCTGTCTGTTTTGACTTCCTCCAACCATACATTAGGTCTTCCTGTCACATGTGAGGTTGTTGTTCGTTTTCGCTGGATCCTTCGAATTTCCCCCCCCCTCCGCAATGTCTACATCTAGCCATCGCATCAACTCCCGCTTCAGACGCTCCATGGAGTGAATGTGCCAGAATTTCATTTTCATCGCAGGTTTAGTGGCGGAGAAGATAACATAACCATCTCTGCTAAAAATCATAGGCGACGTCATGATGCAAATAACATAGTAAAAAATAAAAATACAGTGCGAGAAAGTGTGCGAAATTTCGGAGAAACGGACGAATTATTTATAAAATAATATTTTGCCCTAGTTTTGCCCTAGGAGCCAAGTGAGATGACGCCTCCTCTCACTTTTAAGGAGCATGCGCCATCTCACTTGACTAAAAGTGAAAGGAGACGCCAAGTGAGATAGCGCCTAGGGCAAAAGTAGGGGTGGAGGCGCCAATTCAGTTGGCTCCTCCTTTGTGGAGTCATCTGAAACATGGTTATTTGCGAATTTTTTTTAATACATAGTTATTGTTAAAAAAAAATCGTTTTTCGTTTTTATATGTTTTTTATTTTTATTTTATTTTATAGAGTATACTAGGTTGAAAGCATTTAGTGAGAAAAAATATAACAATCAAAATTTATGCGTATAAAAAAGAGAGAGAAAAAATTAATAACCAAAAAATTTTAAAAAAAGTTTTCGTAAAATTAAAATTGAAATTAATTGTACGAAGGAATGAATGTGCATCCACTAAACTAATTTTAATGACTGAATTAGATGTATATAAGTTTGAGGAGGAAAATTTATAAACAAAATTGTGAAAATACATATGATTACAAATTTTTATATAGTTTAATATTATTGAACTATAATAATAATAATAATAATAATAATAATAATAATAATAATAATAATAATAATAATAATAATAATAATAATAATAATAATAATAATAATAATAATAATAATAATAATATTAATGATAATAATAATAATAATGATAATAATAATAATAATGATAAATAATGATAATAATGATAATAATGATAATAATAATAATAATAATAATAATAATAATAATAATAATAATAATAATAATAATAATGATAAGAATGATAATGATGATAATAATAATAATGATGATAATAATAATGATAATAATAATAATAATAATAATAATAATAATAATAATAATAATAATAATAATAGTAATAATAATAATAATAATAATAGTAATAATAATAATAATAATAATAATAATAATAATAGCAATAATAATAATAATAATAATAGTAATAATAATAATAATATAATAATAATAATAATAATAATAATAATAATAATAATAATAATAATAATAATAATAATAATAATAATAATAATGGCGAAGAAGGGTCGCGGGCGTCCGAGACTTTCGGTGCCTCCGTCTCCACTGAGCCTACCTTCACCGGAGCCTCTACCGGTGCTGGTATCAAAATCCCATGATGATGAAGAGCATAACAAGAAGGTGAAAGATGTACCAAGGGAAGAAGTTAAGCTTCCTCAGTCAGAGATTCCAACGGGAAATCCAGAAAATCGTAAGTTATGGGTGGAGATTCTTAGTGAAAATCGAAACCCCAAAAAGGGGAGAGCGATGGCCTATATTGCACCTACGATAGTCAATGGTGAGACTGAAGTTGAAATTGAAGATGAAGACATTGTCACTGAACTGATGTACTGGAAGAACTCTCTTATCTATATGTTCTTGGAGAAGATCTGAGTATGAATTCAATTAAGAAGTTTATGGAGAAGATGTGGAATTTTGTCCATCTACCGGATATGTATTACCACGATGATGGATATTTTATCCTTAGGTTCATAACACTTGATGATTTGGATGCAGTTTTGATGAAAGGTCCTTACTCCATTAGGGGTATGCTAATGATCCTCAAAGAATGGAAGCCAGATTTTAATATGAAACAGGATATGCTGCGGACTATACATATTTAGATTAAGCTACCCAAGCTTCCCATTTACCTTTGGGGAGAAAAGAGCCTTAATAAGATTGGTAGTTCCATAGGGGTGCCCCTGGTTACTGACGAATGTACAGCCCACAAGTTACGAGTGTCGTATGTAAGGATTCTCGTTGAGGTGGACATTACAAAAAAGTTTTTGGAGGAGATAATCATAAAAGATAAGGAAGGGATAAAGATGAAAAAGTAGATAGAGTATGAATGGAAACCGGAGTTCTGTGAGATATGCCAAAAGGTTGGTCATCACTGTGATGAGGAGCCAAAAAAGAAGATATGGAAGCCTAAACTTCGACAAGCTGAGTTAAAGGAGGATTCTGCAACTAGTGTATCTACCCCAAAAGAGGAGCTTACTAAGGCATCCACTGATGGAACTGAAGTGGAATGGAAAAAGGTGAGAAAAGCAAAAGGTAAGTTAATTCAGTTTGTTGATTCCTCAAATATGGTAGCTTGTGTTAATGGTTTTAGTGTGCTAGAGGTTTTGAATGACCCTCTTATCACTCTTGATAAGGTTCCATGATGGTAGCATGGAATGTAAGAGGGTTAAATAAGAGTGGTAAAATAAAGGAGATCAACTCCCGTCTCCTAGATTTACATCCTTATATTTGCATTTAGATTGAAACTCGTGTTAAAAGTAATAAAGCTTCAGCCATTAGAGATAAGTTGTACTTCAGAGGTGACTACTTGGACAATTATACTGAGCATGCTAATGGCAGACTGTGGATTAGTTGGGATAATACCAAATATGATGTTAGAAGTGCTCATAAAACTAGTCAATCTATTCATTATGGGGTCTATGATATTAGTGGCATATTCAAATTCTGGCTAACAACTGTGTATGCTCATAATCGGCTGGAAGATAGAAAGCGTTTGTGGAAAATTGTTTCGAATATCCATAAAACTGTGCAGGGGCCTTGGTTCTTGTTTGGGGATTACAACAATGTGTCTACTGTGCAAGATAGAATTGGAGGTAATCTTGTTACTGAGAATGAATATAAGTACTTCCAGGATATGTTGAACCTTACTGGGCTAAGTGAAATGGATACTATTGGTGATTACTTCACTTGGTCCAATAAGCATTACTCGGGGACTATCTACTCTCGCATTGACAAGCTATTGGGTAATGTGGATTGGTTTCAGCATTTTAGTTCAATGACTCTGCATATCCTCTCTTCTGGAGTTTCAGATCATGCCCTGATGCTGCTAACGGATAATAAGCCCAAGAAAACTATGGGGAACTTCAAGTTTAATAATTATCTGGTTGAGATCGAGGATTTTTAGAATGCTGTCAAGGCTAGCTGGCACAAGCCTATGAGAGGCACCCTAATGCAAATATTATGGCATAAGCTGCATAGACTAAAGCTAGTCTTGAGGAGATTGAACTGCCACACTAATGATGTTAGGAAGAACATTATCAAATCTAGGCAAGACCTCCTTTCAACTCAAAAGGACCTTCAGCTTAATAGGTTTGATAGTCAGAAGATGGATGAGATTAGAAGATTGACAGATGAAGTTGTTAGTTGGAATCAGATGGAGGAGAAGTTGTTGTTGCAGAAAACAAAAATTGATTGGTTAAAGCTGGGGGATGGAAATAATGCTTTCTTCCATGCATACTTAAAAACCAAGCACAAGAATAGAAGTATGACAGTCATTCAAAAAGAAGATGGTTCCATTCTCTCTAACCAAAAAGATATCACGCAAGAGGTTACAAACTTTTATACTAAGCTTATGGGGACTCAAAGTCAGTCTTTAACTCATGTTGATATTGATGCCATGAGAAAGGGGAAGCAGATTAGCATGGTCCAGAGGAACTACTTGACTAGTAAAGTAACTATTGCTGAAATTGAAAATGCCTTGCAGGGTATTGGGGATCTAAAAGCCCCAGGTGCAGATGGGTTTGGTGCAAAGTTCTTTAAATCATGTTGGCACTTTATTCAGGTTGGTGTCTTGGAAGTTGTGTTGGAATTCTTTGAGAAGAACAAATTTTTTTGCCCTTTCAACAAAACAGTTGTTACCTTGATTCCCAAACATGAACAAGCTAAAGGAGTTAGGGATTATAGACCTATTGAAGGATGTACTACTTTCTACAAACTTATCTCTAGAATCCTTGCATCCAGATTAAGTGTAGTTCTTCAGGGAACTTTGAGTACTAGTCAAGTTGCATTTGTTCCAGGGCAGAGCATTCATAACCACATTATGCTAGCTTCTGAACTCATCAAGGGCTACACCAGAAAAAATGAAGCTCCCAGATGTATGCTGCAATTAGACCTCTAGAAAGCCTATGATATGGTTGACTGGAGGGCTCTTAAAGTTATTTTAGTGAGATAGGTATTCCATCTGTGTTTATAAACTGGATTATGATTGATGTAAAAATTGTCACCTATGAATTATCTGTAAATGGTGAATTAACTGACTCTATGCAGGCCTGTAGAGGGGTTGGGCAAGGGGATCCCCTGTCTCCCTTCCTATTTGTTGTGGTTATGGAATACATGAATATGTTGTTGGAGAAAATGCAGAAGAATACCCAGTTCAAGTTTCATGCTAAATGTGAAAAAGTTGGCCTCACAAACCTTATCTTTGCATATGATGTCCTCCTTTTTTGTAGAGGAGATTCTGTTTCTGTGGGTTTATTAATGAACACTATTCATATTTTTTCTGATTCTACTGGTTTGGTCATTAATCCCAGTAAATGTAAAATATTTTTTGGGGGTCTTGAGAATGATCTTAAGATGGAGCTGGAGGGGCTAACCAGGTTTGAAGAGGGTATGCTTCCAGTAAAATACCTAGGAGTTCCTCTTACTAATAGAAAGCTCTCCATAACCCATTACCTTCACCTGATTGACATGATTATATGCAGGATTCGACACTGTTCATCCAGACTGCTGAGTTATGCAGGGTGGGTTCAGCTTGCCAAAGGCATTTCCTTTTCCATAACTCAGTTTTGGTTACAATGCTTACCTCTTCCCAAGTTTATTATCAATAAGATAGATGTTGTTTGTAGAATTTTTATTTGGAATGATACTCACGAGATTAGTAGAAAGAGTCTCGTGGTCTGGAAGAAAGTTTATAGCCCTAGGAACCAAGGTGGATTAAATGTGATTAATCTGGCTGTTTGGAATAAGATTACCATGCTTAAGTGCCTTTGGAATTTATGTCGAAAATCTAACAATTTGTGGGTTAAATGGGTCCATGTGTATTATCTAAAGGATGGGAACATAATGGAGATGGTGGTTAAGAACAATTGGTCTTGGGTTATGAAGTATGTCATGAAGCAAAGAGAGATTCCTATTCAGTATGTTGATACTTGGGAGAATATTTTGCAGAATAACAAATTCTCCATGAGAAAGATGTACAGGGATGTTATTGATGATGGGAATCGAGTCCCCTGGAGACATTTGATCAGTAAGAATAATGTGAGACCCCACATGATTTTGATTTTGTGGCAGACTTGTCATGGTAAGTTGCCCACAAAGGAGAGACTTAGAATATTTGGCATGATTCAAAGTGACATTTGCAGCCTATGTCAGGAAAATGTTGAAATTGTTGATCATCTGTACTTTGAGTGCAGGGAAACAACTTTTATATGTGTTTGCCGTGAAAAATGGTAAACAACCGCTGATCTTCCAAAAGGTTACTTATTTGGTGACTCGCAGGATCGATCAGATTGATCCTAAGACATGGTTGATTTTTGGAGTTTAAAGGCTTTGAAATAAAGAGTTTCGATTAATCCTAATGGTGATTAATGCAGGTAAAGTAGAGACACTTTAAATAAATTGCATGGAGAAAAGCTTGATAAAGTAAATAAAAAGCATTAAAGAGTTGTTAAATAAATGACTTCGACTGAAGTAAATGAGTGAAAGCGATAAATTGCTTGAATGTAAAAGACTTTGATTAAGGTAAATGGTGTTTTACACATACATTCTCAATGATTCTTTCTCTCACACTGGGTACTTGAATCTAAATGAGTGACTTGTATACAATGATAAACACACTAATAACTTCGTGAACACTTAGTATTTATACTAAAAAAAATCCTAAGTAACTGCTGGGCAGTCACACCGCTTCATGATGACACCGCATGGCATGCTCACAACCTTCGACGCCTACGTGCACGACACGTTGCGCTTGGTAACTGCTGGGAACCATTTTCCCTCCAACAATTAAAAATTCAAACCGTTTGATATCGGGCATCAGGGACCTTGGTCGAGAGGTTGCTCCTTCGACGTCGAAGACAACAAGATTCCAACTTAAAGGAATTTCTCTAAGTACGTTATCATTCTTTGATGAGCCTTCGATGTGACCAGCTGATCGAAGCCCTCTTGTGTAGGAAACTCTTCTGACTCAATTAATGATCTATATGATAATAGAATGTGGGTGTCGAATTTAGGAGCCAACAAATTTCCCCCCAAGAATGTCTTATTTCGACGCTTAGAAGAAAAAGGCATTCTTTGATATTCTACTCGACACATGTCCTTCACTCTCAGCCACAAATTAGTTTGTGTGCTTTTCATCTCCTACCAACCAACTGACAAACTAAAAAAGTCATCATTTCACCTTTTCCCAAGACGTCACTTCAATAAGGCACCCCGCATGCACGATGACCTTTCACACGTTGTCATCATGACCATTCTCTGAAATCGAGGAAGCATGCTGCAACGTTTCCATTTTTCAGAATGGTTATAGCGCCAAATACGTGCCACGTGCCCCACTCTCGTTTGTGGCATTAAATGACCTTGAGCCCTGTGATTTTTTCAATCACTATAAATAGCACTAAGTGCCTCAGTTGGACTCTTTACGCTTTCTTGCATCCAAACCTTCGATCGAACGAAATTTTCTGCAAACAAACCTTTGCTTCTTCCTCTCCAATCCCAGTAATCTTTATTCTTCATCTACCCTCATCTCAAACAAAAAAATGGCTTCACGCACTCGTGCTCCCAATGCCCCAAGAGTTAGCAATCTCTCCAAGACTGCTCAACCAGAAACTTTCTCAACCGCTCCGATAGTCAAGTCTATGGGAATGCGAAGGGTTCCTGAACCCATGGGTGAGGCTGAACGTGAAACCTATGGCTCTCAACTGCTGATTCCCGTTGGATATTCCAACCAGGTTTTTGCCATATCAGGCCCTCTTTCAACATGCATCACTGACCCCACAAAAATTGAGGGTTTCTTCCCCGCGCATGCGACACTCAAACCTATTGGGTGCTCAAAGAAAGCAAAAGATGATACTGAAGATCCTGCGAAGGAGAAAATAGATCTTCGGTTTTTTAACAGAGGGGTTAGGGCTTTTCGATCCAGCCCTAGTCTTACTCCAGAATATACCGCTTGGCTCCTTAAGATGGAGAAGTGCCAGGCTTCGATTTGGAAAGGCATGGGCATTTATGACCTGGTCATGTTGTCCAAAACTGGCCTTAACTACTGTCCCGACATGCTGGTAGCTTCATTGCTGTTATGGGACTACACTCACTATACCTTCCACTTGCCTTGTGGAATGGTTACGCCCACCCTCTTCGATGTGGCCGCCATTACTGGTCTTCGACCAACTGGGGACTACTTCGACCCAGAGGAAATGTCTGAAGACCAGATTGGGTTTTCTGCTACCAAACCCACCTACACCTTTTACACCAACCATTACCACGACAAATCGACGGCTGTGGTGACTGATGTGGAGCACATCGCGTTTCTAGCCCTATGGCTGTCGCGCTTCGTGTTCTGCACGAAATCCCTGCAGGTGACGAAGCAGATGGTTACCCTCGCTACTCAACTTCATCACGGCCAAAACATATGTTTGGCCGAATTAATATTGGCAAATTTGTATGAGTCGATAAGCAGTGGAGCGGCTCAATTGAAAGTAATCGAAAATAGAGCCAGCCTGCTGCTTGCTGGTCCCTTCTGGCTACTTCAACTCTTGTTGAATGCCACTTTCGAGTCTTTTCTTCCCCAGAAGCCTCAAATAAATGAACAGGCTCCTGAGATAGATAGAAGGCGCGTCGAAGGCACCAGGCTTGCCTTATTGACTCCTACTGAGGATGGGCTTGAACTACAAAAGACCTTGGCAAACTTTGTTCAGATGTTTGCAGGGAGGAAGGAATTTACCTCGACCATGGCCCCTTTCGTCGGTCGAAAGTGTGGTCCAGGATGGTTTACCAGGCCCCATCCTAAATCATCAGAGGATCCTCACTTTGAAGAGCATACAACAATGTGGGAAGCGTTTCTCACTCCAAGGATAATGCCGTTGCGTTTCAAGAGTTCAAAGAATCAGCTGAGCCTGATTTCCTACCATCCGAATCTTGTCTCTCGACAATTTGGCATTATCCAATCGCTTCCTTCTCCAATTTATCCTCGGGAGAAATCATTGTTGTTATTTTCTAATGACTACTCTGAAGAAGCCGCTACTAGGAATATTAGTAGGTACGTTGGTCGGACCGTACTATCATTGTTCGACTACCAACTCAACTTCCTCTGTTCACCAGCTTTTGAAGATTGGTGGAAGAGATATTACGTCGAAGAATTCCTCGACGAGAAGGACTTTGCAGACGAACTCAAGAATTCCTTCGTCATGGTCCTTGATAAAATAAAGAAATGTACGTTCCCTCTTCAACTTATATTTGTCTTTTCATTTCAACTTATATCTACCAAATATAACTTGTGAACATTTTTTCTTTCAGTTGTTCGAAAACCGGTGGCTAAGAAGGCCACAGACAACAATCAGGGTGAAGGTTCCTCTGCAAGGCCTCCAGTACAGGTGACAATTTTTCCTTGTTTCCCTCTTTGGTTTTAAACATTCTGGTTCCCGATGCTGTGTTTTAAATCGACTCCATTTGGGATTTTCAGGAACCTGCGCCTAAGAAGCGACCCATATTAACGGTCAAAACTTCGAGTGGAGAAGAAGAGGAATCTCCTCCTGTTCCTCTCAAACGAAAAAGGCTGAAAAAGGCTGCCCCTGCCCCTGAACCTCGACCTGTGACGAGAACTAAAGTCACAGGGAATAAACCCAGGCCACCCCATGTGATCATCAAAGAACCCACGGAGGAGGAGCTAAATGTCTTGCTCAGTAATCCGGTTGAGAGCGACAACTCCAGCCCTGGGGCTGAGGTTCCTGTACATGTAATGCCTCCGACCACTTTTAACTTAAGTGTAGATGATCACCTTCGATTGTACATCTCTCTAATCAGAATATTTTTCCCTTTCTATTTTTAGGAAACAGCTGGAACTTCAGCGCCAGCTGGGCATCCTGTCGAAGGTTCTGATACCTTTGTAAATAGCGCAGGGGAACCCACCTACAATCCTTCTTCTTTTGTCAGTTCTGCTAACAAAGTGAATCAAACTTCGGAGCCGCAGGACTCTGCTGACCATAACATACAACGCGAAGAGGAACTGGTGGATGATGAGTTTCTTGCTGAAACAGAGGATGCCCCTGAGAAGCATCACCAGGAGGAAGTTCAAGTGGTCAACGAGACAGAAGAGCAACATGATGAAGAGGGTCATGTTGACGCCGATGCTGCTGAAAATGCTCATCCCCAAGCCACCATTGCCACATAAAAGGTTACCTCGACAAAGCCCAGGTCTAAAGAGGACTTGGCCCTCTTGAAGCAAAATGATCCAATTGGCTATCTGAATGCCATCGTCAAGAGCAGGGAAAATTCATCTGACCCTAGTCATGATGCTTCTACTGCATCATGGAAGTCTACTTCGACTTCTCCTCTCGATGATGTCTTGAAGAAAGTTAAGGCTCAATTCTTTAAGAGGGATCTAATGAAGGATTTGGAGGGGGATCCTACTGCCCAGTCTTGTTTGGGGGCTGTCTTGGGTGCAGTCGATTTGCTTGCTGTTTCTCCAGAGATTTCCAGCTTTATCTTGGAGTTATACTCCATTATTGACCAAGTCTCTGCGGACTACAATCGTCGAAGGGGGTTCAACAGCCAACTCGAAACGCTGCATGGCAAGAGTTCTTCTGCTTGGACTGAAGTAGCTGAATCGACTTCTCGAATTGCAGAATTGTCGAAACAGAGAACGTCCAAGCAACAAGAAATCAAAGCCATAAATCAGGATAATGCCTCTATACGGGCGCAAATCGAGGAGTTGGAAGCCAGGTTAAACGCTAATACTAAGCGCAAGGAAGAACTTCTTTCGACTGTTTCAGATGCAGAGAGCCAAGATGAAGTTGCTCGAGGCCTAGAGTTCGCTGAAAGGGCCCAGGCTCTAGATGACCAGATTGCCAAAATCTCTCAGGCGAATGCCTTGTGTAACAAACGGCTGGAGTTACAGCGAGCCAAATATCTTCGTCTCAAAGCTTCTGTCCCTTTTTAATTTTCTATGTACTTCATTGACCATGTACTGTAATTTTTGTAATACAATGTAGCCATTTTGGTTAATCAATGTTATTTTCCATTTTGGCCTTATGGTTAACTTAGTCATTAATTGTTATTTATTTTGATCTCTTGGAGCATAGGTTTATATTTTTTCAAATATTTGTCGTTTACCCTCAAGAGTCTTTCATCTTCGCTTAAATCTTCGACCTCATATGCTCCACCAGAAAAAGTTTGAATAATTTTGAAGGGTCCTTCCCACTTGGGTGACCATTTTCCCATGCTTCGATCTTTTCGATCCATAGGAAGAATTACCTTCCAAACTAGTTCTTCAGGCGAGAATGCCTTAGGTTTTACTTTCTTATTGTAAGAGTCTTCCACTCTTTTCTTCTGAATTCTCAGTAGGTCGAGAGCTCGTAGTCTTTCTTCATCTAAATCTACCAATTCGTCTAACATCATATCCCAATAAACCTCAGAGGGAATATCTTGATGTCTTTGAACCCTTGCTGATTGAAGACAAATTTCTGCTGGCAGTACTGCATCGTGACCGTAAGTTAGCCGATATGGTGTTGTACCTGTGGCTTCCTTTGGGGACGTTCGACAGGCCCACAAGATCTGGTCTAACGTTTTATGCCAATTTTTTGGCTTCTTTCCCACATGCTTTTTGATCAGGCCAATCACTATTTTATTCGCCGCTTCGACTTGACCATTTGTCTACGCGTAATAAGGTGTTGATGTTAGGAGTCTAAAGCCTGTTTCGGTCGCGAATTCCTGCATCTTTCGACCAGTTAACACTGACCCTTGATCAGTTGTTATAGTCTCGAGGATTCCAAATCTGTAGATAATGTTCTTTTGAATAAATTCAATGGCATTTTCTTGGTCTGTGTTGACTAAAGGGATATCTTCGATCCATTTAGTGAAATAATCAATGCCTACCAGTATATACTTCTGGCTCTTCGATGATGTTGGTCGAATCTCTCCAATAAGATCCAATGCCCATCCTCTAAAAGGCAAAGGTTTCACTATTGAATTAAGCTCGCTTACTGGTACATGTTGGATACCAGTGTGGACTTGGCATTCCTGGCAACCCTTCGCGAACTCGACACAATCTTTCAAGATAGTAGGCCAATATAGCCCTTGTCGAAACAACAACCATTTCATCTTATGACCTACTTGGTGAGCTCCACATGCTCCAGCATGCGTAGTCGAAAGGGCTATGTATGCTTCGGTTTCGCTTAAGCACTTTAATAATACCCCTTCAGGCGTCTTTTTGAACAACTCATTCCCCATGAGTACGTAACTTAACGCCCTATATTTTATTTTCCGTTCTGTCAAAGCTGCTGGATTTTGCAGGTAATCTACAATGGGTTTCCTCCAGTCTTGCTCCGATAAATTGTCTATGAACATAATTTCGAAATTCCTTTGATCGGCATATCCTAGTCTTGTCGATTCCAAATCGGTTGGAGACAAGCTGGTTGCTGTTATTTTTTCTCGGACTTCGATTGCTCTTTGTAATCTCGTTTTTGAAATCTTATACCCAGATGAAATTTGTGCCAAATCATTGGCTACTTGGTTTTCCAATCTAGGTATGTGTCGAATATTAACCACTTCGAATTTTTTCAATAAACGATTAGCTATCACAAAGTACATAATGAGATTTTCCCTTATACATTTGTACTCTTTTGTGACTTGCTTAATGACTAACTCTGAGTCTCCCATTATTTTGACTCGAGTTGCCCCCAATTCCAACAATATTTCAAGGCCAATAATTAGAGCTTCGCATTCAGCCTCATTGTTCGAACAAGTACCTTCTATCTTGTACTTGAATGTTGTTGGAATTTTTTCTGGAGAAATAATTAAGACCCCTACTCCCGTTCCATCTTTATGGCTGGAACCATCGAAGTAAAATTTCCAGGGTTCTATCTCCAAGTAATTTATATTTTCAACCTGAATTGAGTGGTCGACTATAAAGTCTGCTACCACTTGTCCTTTCACTGCCTTAAGAGGCATAAAGGTCAATGAATACTCAGTTAATGCTAACGCCCATTTTCCAATTCGACTGTGCAAGATGGGTTTCGACAACATGTATTTGAAAACATCAAAATGGGACGAAACATACACATCAACTGGTTTTATATATTGTTTGAGCTTTGTACAAGAGAAATAAAGACATAGACATAATTTTTCAACTTCGCTATATCTAGTTTCTGCATCGTTCAAAACCCTGCTAAGGTAGTAAATGGGTCTTTCGACTCCATTTTCATCTTCTTGGGCTAACATGCTTCCCAAAGTTTTGTCGGATGCAGCTATGTACAATCTCATACTCCTATTGCTACAAGGAGGCACCAAAATAGGTGGCTTGGTGAGGTACCCTTTGATCTTGTCGAAGGCGTCTTGTTTCTCTTGCCCCCACTCGAATCTTTCCTTATTCAATCGAAGTAAGGGTGAGAAGGCTTGCGCTTTTCCACTTAGGTTAGATATAAATCTCCTCAAGAAGTTTATCTTGCCCAACAGAGATTGCAATTCCTTCTTGTTCGTTGGTGCTTTCGCTTCCAAGATTGCCTTTGTTTTGTTCTGGTTGATTTCGATTCCTTTCTTGTGGACGACGAAGCCCAAGAAATCTCCAGCTTTCACACAGAACATACACTTCAAAGGGTTCATTTTCAGACCATGCTTTCTCATTCTTTCAAATGATTGTCGAAGGTGGTCTATATGGTTCTTCCTGGAAACAGATTTTACAACAATATCGTCAATACATACTTGCATGAAAGTGTTAATAGAATCATGGAAGATAGAGTTCATTGCTCACTGATATGTTGCCCCGGTGTCTTTTAGGCCAAAAGGCATTACCACCCATTCGTAAGTGCCTAAGGCCCCAGGGCATCGAAAAGCTATTTTCGACACATCTTCTTCAACAATGAAAATTTGATTGTATCCTGAGTAACCGTCGAGCATGCTCAGGTACTCATGGCCAGCGGCAGAGTCGACAAGCATTTCCGCCACAGGCATAGGATATTCGTCTTTGGGTGTTGCAGCATTCAGATCTCTGAAACCTATGCACACCCTCAATGTACCATTTTTCTTAATCACTGGCACAATGTTTGCAATCCATTCGACGTACCTCGTAGTTCGTATGAATTTGCACTTCAGCAGTCTTTCGACTTCCGTTTTGATCTTCGACAGTATTTCTGGAGCGAAGCATCTTGGAGTCTGTTTGACAGGCTTTTTCCAGGTTTGATTGGCAACTGAAGTTCTACCAATCCTCTGTCGAGTCTAGGCATTTCGTCGTAATCCCATGCAAAGCAGTCCTTGAACTCCTTCAGTAATTGGATCACTTCAACCCTGAGCTCTGGGTCTATTCTGGCGCTGATTTAAGTGGGCCTTTTATCTAACCCTTCGCCTAAATCGATTTCTTCTAAAGGATCCTGTGCTAACATTCTGATGTTGTTTTCCAGGGGGTCCTTTTCGAAACCCAAAGGCTCATCGTCGTAGATGGCGTCTAGCCTCTGTTCCTGCATTCCCTCTGTTATGATATCGGGAGGTTTTGGGTCGAAATCTTTTCCAGGACCTATATCTGATGGCTCCTGGTCATTGGCCTTGGTGGCCATATATTTTACTTCGGCTTCACGAGCCGCTATCATTCTTGTTTCAGCTACGTAAGCCGAAATTCGTTGTAACACTTGTGACTCAGTCATTATCACTGAATTCGCTTCCCTAACCAGTTGGCTGGATGTCAGTCAGCCCACTGAAATCAATGTGGGACAATTCTTCTTTATCCCATTGAAACCCATGATCAAGATGCAGGTACAAGGAACAAAAAGCATTTGGCGCTGGCGCCATGTCGAAGTCAGGTGCTGGACATGGCCCAATGTGAGCCAAATTTTTGTCGAAGTCAGCTCTCCCTAGGTGATTAACTTCGCCTAAGTAGTAGCTCTGATCTACTTCTACATTCTCAACAATCCCATCGGGACGCCATAATATCAACCTTTGGTGCATCGATGATGGTATTGCTCCGACACCATGTATCCATTCTCGGCCTAATAATAGGTTGTAATTTGGTTTCGCCGATATGACCATGAACATGGTTGGTCGAAGGATGGATCCCACTTTGAGGTCTAGTTGAATCACACCCATGGTGGTCCCTATTCCACCTTCGTAGTTCGATAGGACCATATTATGAGGCTTACTGTCTTCATCATTCTTGCCTACTTTTCTTAGCATGAAGTGGGGGAT